ACTTATTGTACAACAAACAATTTACAATACTCGCTAATACAGTAAAAACACTTTACAATACTTGTTAAAGCAATAACAGCGCTTAACTAAACTTGGTAACACAATTAAACTTATAGCTTGCTTATTCGCAACTCGCTTCTCTGCTTACTTTACTTGTAGCTTGCTGACTTGTAACTAACTCACCTCGCGGTGGCGGCGCCCTTATATACCTGCGCTGGCACTTATGGCAACTCTACAACATTCTGAAGTTTATCGCTCATTCTCTTTCTCTCGCTGTTCGCAGTGTTCATCCAACTTGATGTTTCTCTTTGTGGAACATTCTACGTCATTCTTCGAACATTTTGCCAATTTCCCGTTGTTCGCTTTGTGTTGCCGCAGTATTCGCCACAATATGTTTTCGAAGAGCGTTCATGCTATCGCATTTAGCAAATGTACATTTACGCGAGTTCGGAATCGTATGCTTTTGACAAACAGCCTTGTTCCATTCGCTTATTCAGATCCGCATCTACTACGATCAATTCTCACGCAGAAGATAATGTGCAGAAAACCCTACTGAAAAGGAAAGAATAAATTTTAAGCCAAAAATTCAATACAAAAACTTTAATTATTTTAACCATAACTGAACATTTATTTGTGTATATATTCATTTGTCGGTGCTTCAATTAAAATTTCCTCACTTAATTAGGAAGCAAAACAAACAGAGTTGATCGATATTGAACNTCGGTTTGTTGAAGAGTGCTCTCTGAGAGCAGGTGTGAGAGTCGAGTAGCGAAAGCGCTGGCTGTCTGTTGTGATTGCAGCTTTTCGACGTTAAGCTTTCCTTGCATATTTGGGCGCACATTTTTTGCTGCACAGAGGCGGGTGCGTATCTTGGCTGCAACAAGATAGTGGTCCGAGTCGATCGATAATTATCTAACCTTGTATTATTGAATCATGGAATACAAGATTGCGCCANGTAACTTTTCTTTATCCAAATAATGTAAAATAATAAATGAAATCTCGATCGGCGATCACTGAAACGCAGCTAGCCACTGTATACGCCAAGAGTGATAGAATACAAGCATGATTCAATAATACAAGGTTCGATAAACTAACAGTTGTCACACTNCACAAGTAAACAAAGAATAGAGCGAAAAGAATAACGAGTTAAAACTGCCAAAGCAAATGTGAAAATATTGCATTTTTCACCTAATCTATTAGAGAACAGTGAACATTTGCTNCTTCTTTGCAAATTTACATGGAAACAGTGTAGCTTTGGTGTGAAATAGAAATATAAGCTTTTGTACAGTAAGTTTATTTGAATATGCATGTGAAGCATATTTAACTGATGGAAACATAAACTGTTTTTAAATTGGATGTTAACATCAATGTCATAGTAGTCTTATTTTAGTTTTGAGTCANTTGGCTGCAACAAGATAGTGGTCCGAGTCGATCGATAATTATCTAACCTTGTATTATTGAATCATGGAATACAAGATTGCGCCATCCTGGGCGTTGACATTTGTGTTCCACAAGTAAACAAAGAATAGAGCGAAAAGAATAACGAGTTAAAACTGCCAAAGCAAATGTGAAAATATTGCATTTTTCACCTAATCTATTAGAGAACAGTGAACATTTGCTTTGCAATTGAGGCTGCTTCAGCAAACGTTTTAGTGCACTCTATTGCTTTGCAATTAAGGCTGCTGCAGAAAACTGCAGCAGCATCTCTGCGGGATTGATTAGTTAACTTGCTAATGGAGGCTGCGTGGAGCAGAGACAAAATCCTTGTGAGGAAATGCTGTTAATATAATAATAGAGAAACATTTCGGGAACGGCTTTGCCGTGTCCTATGTACACAAAATGCAGCGATTCGACCCAGCGCTACACTTGCATCTACGCTTCTTGCATCTTGACGGCTGTCGCAATTTAACACACAGCACTTCATTGTATTAGTTTTTAGGCAGTCGTCAACTCAAAAATCACTCACAAATTGCAAATTAACACAATTTAAACTGATTTTTCACTTATAATTCAAATTTCTCTTTAGCTTATTGGTAAACAAAGGTTTATTTACAAGTTACCACAACTATCAAAATCGGCAAAACCAAAGTAGCGGTACCACTGACGGCGCCACCTTTGTTCGCTGCACCGTGTGTATACGCAAAAAAGCAATGTTGCCACTTTTTCTCATTAAACCATGTTTCAATCGTGGAAATTTTGGAAGATCACAGGGTTGCTTTTAGCATTTAGATTCTTAATGCAAAAATGGAGTTGCATTTAGGTGACGAATTTTGTATGGATAAATGTACATTTAGAGTAGCGTTTAGAGCTAAATGTGCTTTTACAAGTAAGCAAAAACAACCCATTATACATATATATAATATAATATATATAAATTCGCCATGCCAGCACAGCTGCCGCACGCTCTCGCTTTGTATATGTACGTACCAGTGATGGAAAATCAAAATTTAAAATTGCATCGAGTTGCTCCGGAAAAATGTGCCTAAACGCAAGTCAATGTGCCAATAAATTTATATTTACCGTACTTATTGCATAAAAGAAAAACACAAATCTCATGGAAATCCTTTCTTTAGTGCAACAACAAAGCCATAAAAATCAAAGTATAAAACTTTCTACAAAAAATTTTCATTCAAATTTAAAACTTTGTTGTCAGAAATTTTAGAAACTTTCGGGTATGCAGTTTTATAGTCCATTCAATTTTACATTTACAAAGTGCAAGTGCGGCTATGAATTCGGGTTGATTTGTAATACTTTCTTTATTTTTTTGCATTTTCTTTATACATACTGGATTTACCAAAAATTTTAGTATGAAAGAAAAAGTGCAACACCTTGAACGAAACAAGTTGTCAAAAATCAACGCGAATTGAATAGACTATAAAAATTCCGCACCTGAATGTATATCGATGGCTGAGTGGAAGATCGACCTATCTCGGCAGCCAGTTCGAAAACGCTCTATCTCAAAAAACTTTTCAAGAACGCCCTATTTCAGAATTCGTTTCAAAAACGCCCTCTCTCAGCTGCCGCTTCAAAAACGCCCTATATCAGTATATTTTCAATACATTTTGAAGTGAGATAGGGTGTTTTTGAATTACATTCTGAAATAGGGCGTTCTTGAAAAGTTTCTTGAGATAGAGCGTTTTCGAACTGGCTGCCGAGATAGGTCGATCTTCCACTCAGCCATCGATATGTAGTCTTCAGAAAAATTTACGTATGAACGAAAAAAATCACCCAAACATTACCCTGAATTACGAATTGTAAAAATAAAAAGCACCAGTCCCCTTTATTCCTAAAGTATTTGCAGATTACAATGTCCAGCTTGCGCAAACTTACTTGTAACTTGCATTCAGGCGTTGTTGCGAATAATGGAATACAGTTCCATATGCTGTGGTCTAGAAATGAGAAGGCCTGATTCGTTGTATATTTAAATTTTGGAATTCAGGGTAAATTATAATTTAGTCAACTAGTTCACTTTCACTGAGATCATTATTTGTAATATTATAACGCAGTACATTTTTCGTATCAAAATCAGTGTTATTCGTATCGTCAGAGCTTACTGTCTCTCGCACGAAAGCCGTAACGGGCCAAGGTTCTCTTTCTTAATTCTTGGCAAAATTTAACATTAAATTGCAAAGCATTTTTAATTTCATTTTCTGCAGAATTTTCTTTAGTAAGAAATATTTCGGCTTCTGTACCACAAAGAATATTCAAAATAGGTATGCGATTATTTAAATCTAAAGTGTATATTAAATGATATTTAATATTTGCTTTACATATGAAATTGCGACCAATTTGTTTAAACAAAAATGTTAAGCGTATATGCAGAACGCGGAAGCCAGCTTCTTCTGCTTGCGTTTCTATGTTCATATCATTTATCACTTTAACCACGTTACGCAAAATAGTCCCGAAAATCAATCAATTGTGCTTAAGGTGCCGGCTGCTTCGGAAAGTGCCGATAATGGCACAATGCACACTCATTTTCCATGACTGGTACGTACATGCAATGTTTGCACTCTTTCTGCTCACTCTCTCAACGATTTCATAAAAAATGGAATGTTAATAACATGTTAGTAACATGTTACTATCTTGAAGATGCCAACGATGCGGCGATTCTGCGATAGTAAATTTACAGTTAAGTAGCGTGTACTCGCCGCATCGGCATCGCCGATTATTACCATGTTACCTTTTTATGTAATCGTGCAGCTCTCTAATATGTATGTCCATCACATGAACCAACGACTACAGATCACCTAATCAGCCATCGTTGTATTTGTAATCGATTTTCAGAAAAAAGTTTTCGTAGCGTTTTTGACGTTTTTTGGTTTTGTTTACACCGTCTTCTACCTCTTCGTAGTGATTTTTTAACGATTCAATGTGTTTTCTGCAGCGATTTTAATTATAAACTTTGATTTATTACATATTTATGATATAACTAGCCAATGCCCGCTTACTTCGCGGCGCCTAATAAGAGCTTTTGCGTTGGCCAATGCAAAAGAGCGTTTAAAAACAAAATTAGTCTGTAAAGTCAAAATTCTTGATTTAAGTTGAAACCACTTAGGCGCAGTATCCTCCTGACACATAGGCCAATAATAGTAACGCTGTGATACCATATGGAATACCAATCCCTTTCGGTGTCATGAGCTTTACCGATGGTCTTATTTCCACCTGTGAGGTCTCTGCCAGGCATGCATAATCTTTTTGTATGATCTTGCAACTACAACATTGGTTCTTGTAGGGAAACTCAAGAGCACAGAAGTGCGTTTTCTGTTATAGGAGGGCCAAGAATCCTCGCTGTCCCACAGGATGAAAAGTTTTCCGGTACATTGCTAAATGAGTCGTGTAATCTCTTAAGTATCTTTCCTTACCTACGGTGATCTTCCCTTGTTAATTCACGACGTTTACAACTGATTTCTGGGTAGATGCAATACCGCATGATCATGCATGAGGGCGTCAGAAAAACTTAACCCCATCCTTCA